AGAAAGCACCTGATTTCTGTGCATTGATTTTGTATCCTGCCACATTACTGAATTGCTGTATGAGTTCTAGTGATTTGGGGGTGGAGTCTTTTGGGTTTTCCACATAAAGTATCATGTCGTCTACGAAAAGAGAGAGTTTGACTTCTTCTTTCCCAATTTGAATACCTTTTATTTCTTTTTGTTGTCTGATTGCTGTTGCTAGGACTTCTAGTACTATGTTGAACAACAGTGGTGAGAGTGAGCATCCTTGACATATTCATGATCTTAAGGGAAAGGCTCTCAGCTTCTCCCCATTGAGGATGATATTCGCTGTGGGTTTTTCATAGATGGATATTATGAACTTGAGGAATGTTCCCTCTGTCCCTATACTCTGAAGAGTTTTAATCAGGAAAGGATGCTGTATTGTGTCAAATGCTTTTTCTGCACCAATTGAGAGGACCATATGGTTCTTCTCCCTCCTCTTATTAATGTGTTCTATCACATTGATTGATTTGCGAATGCTGAACCGCCCTTGCATCCCAGGGATAAATCCCGCTTGGTTGTGGTGGATGATCCTTTTAATGTATTGTTGGATCCTATTAGCTAGGATTTTGTTGAGGATTTTGGAATCCATATTCATCAGGGATATCGGTCTGAAATTCTCCTTTTTGATGGGGTCTTTGCCTGGTTTGGGGATTAAGGAAATGCTGGCATCATAGAATGAGTTTGGAAGTTTTCCTTCTGTTTCTATTTTTTGAAACAGCTTCAGTAGACTTGGTATTATTTCTTCTTTGAATGTTTGGTAGAATTCCCCAGGGAATCCATCAGGCCCTGGACTCTTGTTTTTTGGGAGGTTTTTGATAACTGCTTCAATCTTGTGACTGGTTATTGGCCTATTCAGGTTGTCAGTTTCTTCATGTTTCAGTCTTGGCAGCTTAAAGGTTTCCAGGAAGGCCTCCATTTCATCCAGATTGCTCAGTTTATTGGCATATAGTTGTTGATAATAATTCTAATAATTGTTTCTATTTCCTTGGTGTTAGTCGTGATCTCTCCCCTTTCATTCATAATTTTATTAATTTGGGTCCTTTCTCTTTTCTTTTGGATAAGTCTGGCCAGTGGTTTATCGATCTTATTAATTCTTTCAAAGAACCAGCTTCTAGTTTCGTTGATCTGATCTGTGTTTCTGGTTTCTAATTCACTGATCTCTGCTTTAATTTTAATTATTTCTCTTCTAATGTGTGGCTTAGGCATCGTTTGTTGCTTTTTCTCTATTTCTTTAAGGTGTAGAGTTAGTTGGTGAATTCGGGATTTTTCTATTTTTTTGAGTGAGACTTGGATGGCTATGTATTTCCCCCTTAGGACCGCCTTTGCAGTATCCCACAGGTTTTGGACTGATGTGTTTTCGTTCTCATTGCTTTCCATGAATTGTTTAAGTTCTTCTTTGATTTCCTGGTTGACCCAAACATTCTTGAGTAGAGTGGTCTTTAGCTTCCAAGTGTTTGAATTTCTGCCAAATTTTTTCTTGTGATTGAGTTCCAGTTTTAAAGCATTGTGGTCTGAGAATATGCAGGGAATAATCTCAATCTTTTGGTATCGGTTGAGACCTGATTTGTGACCCAGTATGTGGTCTATTCTGGAGAAAGTTCCATGTGCACTCGAGAAGAATGAGTATTCTGTTGTTTTAGGGTGGAATGTTCTGTAAATATCTATGAGGTTCATCTGATCCAGTGTATCATTCAAAGCTCTTGTTTCCTTGTTGATTTTCTGCTTAGATGATCTGTCCATTGCTGAGAGTAGAGTATTGAGGTCTCCTACAATTAACATATTGTTATCAATATGACTCTTTATTTTGGTTAACAGTTGGCTTATGTAGATGGCTGCTCCCATGTTGGGGGCACAGATATTTACAATTGTTAGATCTTGTTGGATAGACCCTTTAAGAATGATATAGTGTCCTTCTGTGTCTCTAATTACAGACTTTAGTTTAGAATCTAATTTGTCTGATATAAGAATTGCTACCCCAGCTTTCTTTTGAGGTCTGCTGGCATCGAAGATGGATCTCCATCCCTTCACTTTCAGTCTGGATGTATCTTTAGGTTCACAATGAGTCTCTTGTAGGCAGCATATGGATGGGTCCTGTCTTTTTATCCAATCTGCAACCCTGTGCCATTTTATGGGAGCATTTAGGCCATTCACATTAAGAGTGATTATTGAAAAATATGAATTAGTTGTCATCATGTTGCCTGTGAAGACATTGTTTTTATAGATTGTCCCTGTAAATTTCTGTTGTATATCACTCTTGGGGTCTTTCTCCCATTATAAAACCCCCCTTAATATTTCTTGCAGGGCCAGCTTAGTGGTCACATATTCTTTCAGTTTCTGCTGGTCGTGGAAGCTCTGCATCTCTCTATCCATTCTAAATGACAGCCTTGCCAGATAAAGTATTCTTGGCTGCATGTTTTTCTCATTTAGTACCCTGAATATGTCTTGCTAGGCCTTTCTGGCTTGCCAGGTCTCTGTAGATAGATTTGACGTTATTCTGATGTTCCTCCCTCTGTATGTAAGGAATCTCTTCCCCCTAACTGCCCTTAAGATGGTTTCCTTGGTTCTAAGATTTGCAAGTTTTACTATTACATGCTGGGGTGTTGGCCTGTTTTCCTTGATCTTGGGAGGGGTCCTCTCTGCCTCTAGGACGTGAGTTTGTTTCATTTCCCAGATTAGGGAAGTTCTCAGCTACAATTTGCTCAAATAAATCTAGTCCTCTCTCTCTCTCCACTCCCTCCGGGATTCCAATTATTCTGACATTGGAATGCCTCATGGTGTCACTTATTTCTCTGATTCTATTTTCATGGATTCTGAGTTGTTTTTCCCTGGCCTCCTCTTTTTCCTTTTAATCTATTATATTGTCTTCCAGGTCGCTTATTTGTTCTTCTGTCTCAGTTACCCTAGCTGTTAGATTATCTAGATTGGATTGGATCTCATTGATAGCATTTTTAAGTTCTGCCAATTCAGCTTTCATTTCTGCCCTTAGAGACTCTGTGTTGCCATTAATTGATTTCTCCATTCTAGCCACTGTCTTCACAATTGCTAGCCTGAATTCCATCTCCGACATCTTGGCTAGATCTGCATCCGTTTGTAAATCTGCAGCATAAGTCATAATCTCTGAGTCGTTTCTATTTTGAGGGCTCCTCCTCCCAGTCATTCTGTTGATGGGTGTTTGAGGGAATGTACAGAGTCCAAATTATTGACCAGAACCCAAGCAAAATGCACCTGTTTTCTTGGGACCTTAGGGTTGCTGGCCTCTTGTTTTCCCAGCCTGTCTTCTGGGGGAGGGGCCTGCCGCGCTGTTACTCAGGCAACCCTGTTTGGGCGGAGTTGCCCTGCCCCCCTGTGGCGGGGATGGGCTCAGCGGGAATCAGTTTTGGGGGCTTTTGTTCTCTGGTGGCTTTCCCTGGTGGCTTTCCGCGTCTCTTCCGCGAGTCAGAGCGGAAGAGACTGTTTCCAACCCTCTGCCTCAGAGCAGAGAGACCGCAGTCTGTTCTTCAGTGAGCTCTCCAGGCCACACTGTCTCCGTTTATGTCCGTGCTGCTATAAACTGCAGCGTCCTGGGTTGTGCGCCCCTCCGCAGCGCTCCCAGTCCTGCCTTCAGGTTGGAGCACGTCTCTGCACTTTGTGCTTCTAAAACCGCCAACCGCCCCCAGATCACACATGCAACCCCGCCGTGCGCGGTTTCCGCCCCAGGGGCTGCCCTAAAGTCCTTTCCCCACCGCTACTGGTCTGCGAGTCTGTGCCCCGTCCCCAGCACGCGAGGCTGTCGCTCACCGGCAGTGTAGGATCCCCACGGCCAGGCACCATCCCACTGCCATTTATTCTCCGATATCTGCCTGCGGAATCACGGCTCCCCGCTTCATACCTCAAAACCAATCGCCTGCCATATTCTGTTTGTAGAAATCCAGATCTTCTTACATTTCAGTCTGGTTTCGTGGGTGCTCAGAGTGGTCTGGTAGATATCCAGCTCAATTCCAGAGACCAGTTGAAATAGGGTCCCCTACTCCTCCGCCATCTTTCCTAGTCCCCAGAAGGCAGATGCTTAACTGACTGAGCCACCCGGGCACCCCCAAAATGTATTTTTAAAGCTACTAGAATGATGAACATTTTTAAAAGACAGTTTTTTAAAAAAACTGTACAAACTGGACTCTGGGAATAGGACTCTGACTTGAAAATCCTGGGTTCCTTAAGTAAAATATGAGTGAAACTAGCCACAGAGTTTCTGCAGGAGTGGGGGGACACCAAGACACCGGACCTTATTCTAGCAATGTGGGATAAAAGAGATTCAAGTTTAATTTCCTAATAAAAAGAAAAGCTTCAGGATGCTGTGAATCGGGCATTGCTTGAGAAGGTATAGGGGAGAAAAAGAGCTATCAAAGTTATTGATATTTGAAAAATGGGAGCTTCTGACTCAAGAAGATTCGTTTCTAATAAGCCACAACTCCAGCAGGGGTGCTAGAGATTAAAACGGAGTTTGGACTAATACATGATTAAGTAGCCACAGTTTAGATAAGTAAGCTATCTCTAAAGGGCGATAGAAAAACTGCCATCCAGGTTTTGAAATTTGTAATTACTCAATGAAGTGAATGTTTAGCATAAAGCAAATGACATTCTTAATTTTTCTTGGCAGAAAGCCAGGATAGAATATTAAAAGAGAAAAAATACATACATTGTGGCTGAGAGTCTTTGCCCCCATACCATCCCTGGTTTCCTTTAAAATTCTGAAAACATTTATTTTTTCTTCACTGGCATTAATTTAGCCATCACTTCCCACTCGCATCTACTTAACATGAGTTCTGTGTGAATGGTAGCTCAGCTTCCTCACACTGACCAAGAATGTCTGGCTTTGCTGTGTGTTAAAAAATAAATGCTTCATGCGAACACTTGTGACTTGTATGGTTGTCTTCCACTCTTCTTCTCCTTACATGTCTTTGAACATCATCAATGTCCTTCCATGGGTCACAGGACTCGTTGAGGAGGTCAGCATACTCAGAAGTGACACAGGCATCTTATACACTGCTAAGCACTGGAAATACCTGCAAGGTGAGTCCATTTTGTACTCAGAGTAGTATATCCATATTTTAAATTTATTATTTGAAAAATAAAATCAATAATCATAAGAAGATAACATTAGGAATAACTTCTGTTTTACTTTAAAATCTGTTAAAATATGTTTATGTAGTATATGCCATCTATTCTATTTTGTATGTTACAACTCTAGACCACATGAACAGATGACTTTAAAATATTTGACACCAAAGTAATTACCCTTTGCATACTGGATAGGTCATTATTTAGAGTCACATTTTTTCCATAAATCAAAGAAATTGAGTTATCATGACTAATTCTTAATCTGCTTTCTGTCTAAAGATAGCAAACATTTGGACTAAAAAATTGAAAAGCTAATTATTTAGATGTTTTATCTACATGATATTAAACAGCCAGATGTCTGGTTAAAGTTTTTGTTTTTTTAAATAGGGCAAAATGGAAATTTCAGTTGCCTTCTAAATTTAACTAAAGACCAATTTGATCAAAACATTTACTCTGGAACTTGCATTATCGATTTTGAATGCCTATATTGATCAAATTAACCAGAGGCTTTACAAACTGCACTTTACGCCGCAAACATGGGTAGCCCAAGCCTTTAGCAACCTTCCTGATGTAGTACACCACCCACCCCCATATCTCTGAGTTAAAAGGGGTGGGGGAGGGGGAATGTTTGAACCTAGCTGTGCTGGGAGGTGAGGGTATGTGTGTACACATGTATTTATATCTCCCCTAAATTTTCCCCCAGATATTCTTTTACTCATCCTTTCTCATTTCCCACTCATTAATACAGATGCATGGCTACTGAATCAGACTAGTGTTATCAGCCACTATTAAGCTACCTTTTGTAAATCCTTAATTTGATCACTGACACCTGAAAATCAACTGGCAAATAATCTAGATTAAATAGCTTAATATGTTCTGTGTCTGTAGTAAAAATCCTTTATTTAAGAGGATGTTTTCAATTGAAATATGGTCAACTTTAAAGTTTTAAGAAATATCCGCAATGTTATTATGAAACTAAGTTTCCAATTTTATGATCATTTGATGACTCATTTTTCTGAAGCCCCAGCTGCATATGATTAATGGGATTTTATTTGGGACTTGACTTTTCTCACTTTTATTTTTCAACACTTCTGGGAATCCTTCAGAAGCTTCCACCGCTGTTCTGTTTTTTAGATTTTCAAATTGTGCCTTCATACATGTGATACAAAATTAAAAATATACCATTTACTTCTATGAGGATGTTATGTTACTACTTACTCAAATTCCTTTTTTTTTTTTTTTTTTAAGTAGGCTCCATTCCCAGCATGGGGCTTGAATTCATGAACCTGAGACTAAGAGTCACATGTTCTATTGACTGAGCCAGCCAGGTGCCCCCTTAAATTCTACACTAATAATGAATGTTTTGGTTAAAACTTAGGTTCTTATTCTTAGAACATTTAAGCATTGTGACTATGTGTCCCAAATCAAAAATACTAATATGCTTATGAGGACAAAGAGACTGTATATTTTAAATCTGTTTAGTTCTTTAGAAATCTAAGATGTATGGTGGTCATACATCTACTGTAGAGGATTCAGATTCCTCCTTTAGTTTATTTCTCTCTGAGTGACATTTCATATTGGTAATTGTTAAGTTATAACAGAAATGAAATACAGGGGATTTAATTCAATATTCAGAAGCCCACAGATACATCAGCATACTCTCCCACTTAAAATTAAAGACTTTTGCACACTTAGTGGAAAGCACTGACTATAAATAATCAGTTTTATAAAATTGAAATATAAGTTATTCTCCCAAAATCTGTGGACAAATGTGATGTCTCACTGAAGAACATTGTAGTCTTAAACAGTTTTAAGTCTCTTGCCATGACTTCTTAATCTATCTGTATGGTTTCTTTCATCTTTGGCTTCAGTCCAGCTTGCTTTCATTTGGGGCTGATGCCAGTTTGTTTTTTTGTTTTTTTGTTTTTTTCTAAATTAATTTTGGCTAATAAATACCTACAATATATTTTACTATATTTAATTGCACTAGGAAATTGGACTTTGATTACAATTAAGTAGAACATTTCAAATATAATATCATTATAGCATAAGTTGGTCCAGCATCTGTGTTAGATTACATTATCCAAACACATGAAACAGTCTGATTTCTGACTTGGTCATCCCCTGCAGGCAGGGATCTGCTGTTTCTTGCCAGTTGAATTCTGTTTTCTTTTTTTTTAAGATTTTATTTATTTATTTGACAGAGAGAGACACAGTGAGGGAGGGAACACAAGCGGGGGGGGTGGGGGAGGGAGAAGCAGGCTTCCCGCAGAGCAGGGAGCCCGATGCGGGGCTCGATCCCAGGACCCTGGGATCATGACCTGAGCCGAAGGCAGACGCTTAATGACTGAGCCAGCCAGGCACCTGAATTCTGTTTTCTTGTTATTGTTCTCACTGTCAGTGGATCATCCTCACAATCCCATAAATGCTGTTGAACTCCCAGCGGTTTCCTATAGTTCTTACCTATTACATTGTTCAAGAATATTACTTTAAACAACAACAAAGAAGAAAAAGGAGGGAGGGAGGGAGGGAGGGAAAGGAAGAAAGAAAAAAGAAAGAAAAAGAAAGAAAAAAAGAATAGGCTGTTCTTACAGAACTTCACAAACTATTTTCAATCAGGATTTAGGTAATAACTCCTAGCCCCAAAATAGCCAGTTCATTTTGTTTTTAATAAATTGTAATTCAAAGAAACTTTACCCAGGAAGAAACTGGATTTGTTCTGAAGGTCCAGAAGCTCTGGAGATCAGCTGTCCACGTTCCTTTAACCTTATGGCAAGGTTACCTTAGTTAATGCCACATCTTCCTTATTTATTCCTTGGAAAGTCAATGGCTGATGTGGAAACAGCTGAGTATATTATTCTAAGATGAAGTGATTAAATCATGTGGTTGAGGGTTGGATGCAGGAACTCTGGGGATGGATATTTTTTCCCTAGTTCTTGACACGGAATCTTTCTATGAGAACTTATAATTAGTCTCTCTAAAAGCAGCCCATGCTTCATTTGATGTGGCCATAGTAAACTCTCTTCAAGGTTGAGCCTAGGAGGGTTAGTGGGGATGAGTAAAATATTATCACACATCTTTGTTGAGGAATTACAGGGGATTAGAAAGACATGTTTCATAACACCCACAGAACATGTACATCCATGTGATAGCTTTGGGGAAATGGTCCCCTAGTGCTGAGGTAAAAAGGAATAGACACAAGATTGTTATACAGGGCCAAGTTGGGAGAGCAGGTTGGGCAATATTAAATGAGAAAATACATATAAATATATCTTAGGGCATGCCTGGTGCTTTGAAAGCTAACTCTTCTGCAAGATCTGGAGTGGAACCTAATGCTTAGAAATGGAAGCCAGCGGTAGCAGAGGGAAGGTCCAGAAATCAGGTGGTACTTCTCCTAGGCATCAGTCCCCTGGGGGTTCAAATGATACTCCCAGTGTCAGCTTTAGGGAATCCTCTTTCAGGGCATCCACTTTGAGGCTCAGGCAAATTTAGCTGATTCCAAGTACTGCCTGAACTCAAAAGCGGGTATATCCTTCATCCCCATCTTCCCGGGTGGCTGCTGGTGAAGGAAAACACCATTTACAAATATCTGCTTGTAGATCTGGAAGTGTTGGAATAGAAATAGGGACTTTTAGTCCCTAGGACGAAGAGGGTTACAATGCCCCTTCAATAGGACTACCCTGGCAAACTGGCAAGTTAATAGAGTACAAAACTGGCAAGTTGTTCATGATCTCCATACAGGAAGGATCTCCAAAGTTAGAGAAGTTAAGGTTCAAGGATGGAAATATCTTCCTTACTAAAACACCATATAAAACTCTATAAGTTCTGAGTCAAGAAGAGATCTTATTTTTTTTAAAGATTTATTTATTTACTTATTTTAGAGAGAGAGCAGTGGTGAGGGGCAAAGGGAGAGAGAGAAAGTCTTTTTTTTTAAGATTTTATTTATTTATTATGTGAGAGAGAGAGAGCACAAGCAGGGGGAATAGCAAGCCGAGGGAGAAGTAGGCTCCCTGCTGAGCAAGGAGTGCAGTGTGGGACTCAATCCCAGGACCCTGGGATCATGACATGAGCCAAAGGCAGACAACTAACTGAGCCACCCAGGCATCCCAAGAAGAGAACTTAAAGAGAACCCTCAATTGACAGGAGCTGACCCTACTGGCAGCCTCTGACCCTTGCACCTGATCATTACCTTTCTGTAGGGTCTATTGCTTTGCCTCTGTCACCAGACAGTCTCTTTTTAGTTTGTTGGCCTACATGTAATGACAGCCTTCTTTTTCTTCATTCTTCTTAGTGAAATAGTGACATGTAGCATTTTAAAAATTAATGTGATTCAATATTAAACAAAAATTAAAAGGCAGTAATTACAAGCAAGATGCTTCACATAAAGTCATGCTTCCAAAGTCCAAGTTCTTGATTTTAAGACAAATACAACCTAGCCCCCAAAACCATGAAATTTCCTGCTCTGGGTCTTCCTTCCTCCCACCTCCCCATCCTGCCTGTTACTTGGTCAGAGTTTTCTAGCTGCCATATTTTTTCAGTATTTCTGCAGATGTGACAAATATTCAAACAGTAGGCTGAAATAGATAATAAGGAATGACTTACTTCAAGTAGGGCTGTCGAGAAGGGCTTCCCTGTAGAGAACCGAAGGATAAGCAATAACTAACCATGAGATGTTGGGAAAAGAAGGTTACTGGCAGAGGGAACAGCTTGTATCCAGGAGGCAAGAATCTGGTGTCCTAGAGGAACTGAAACAAGTTCTATGGAGCCAGGGCATTTTGAAGAAGGGAGACAGGACATAAGATTAATCTGTAGAGAAAGTAAAGGACTAGATCATGAAGGCCATGGTGAAGTGTTTCGCTTTTATTATAAGTGCAAGAAGTCACTGAAGGCTTTGAGCAGGGAAGTACCAGGATTTAATTTATTTTTTGAGGTCCTTCTTGCTGTGTATGGAAGAGGGGATCAAAGAGAAAAAATGGAAAAAAGAGAAACCACTTAATAGGCAACTGCATCTATCTGGGCAAATGATGAAGCTGGCTTAGACTACTGTTTTCAGTCTTGTTTGTCACAACCTGTTACGGTCACACAATGATTCTAGTGGTGTTGAGCGGCAATATCAGTGAAATAGAATGATGTACAATAGAAAATATCAGAGGCCATCCTATCATTTCATGACATTTTCTTCAAGTTTGTTATACATATCCACACAGATATGCATGTATAGGATTATACTGTAAAGTGGACTTACCGCTCTGGGCACTGATCAGAGAAGCCATGGTGGTAACAGTGGAGGCAGAAAGAGGGGATTCGTCAGATGAAGATATCTTCAGATACATGGAGCTGGAAGAAGTCACCTTAGAAAGCACATAAAGATCGGAGACAGAGTTCTGTGATCTATTTTATTTCATTTTAAGTATTACATTCCTATCTTTGTACCCTGACTAGTCTTTAAAAAATTACTTACCACTTATACAGAGTAAAAACATAAGAAGATTGTACCACTAATATGGGAAAACAGAGGAAAATTACAAATAAGGGGCAATTTTTTAAAGTATACATATAGAAAGAATTGGAATGTAACCTGATGGTCACCAGTAGTTCTTTCTCTCACATTTGTCTGGCTGTTACTTTTTGGGGTCATTGATATATCTGTAGCAGAGATTATAGGCAAATTAACAATTTATAAAAAAGCTGTATACAGGGGAGGAAATAGTAAACTATATCTATTCAGTCTTCATTCCTTCTAAGAGAGAACGTTCCTTGGTCTTCTGAGGTAACAATTCTAACTTTGCTGAACTTTTTCACAATACAGTTTGATCTCTGCTTGTTTAACTAACTGTTCAAAACTTACATTACCACCACAGTGAGTAATAAACATGTATAGTGTCTTAGGTAAAATGTCATGTTTATGTTTTGTCTAATATAGGATATAATGACCTCTCTTACAGAAGGTTATCTTAATGAGTATCACCGTCCATATCTACTTGAGCAGCTTGGATTTAAACTGCTATTTGGAATAAGTCTTTAACCTGATGAGAAATAGATTTATATTAAATCACTGAAACTCAGAAACTTGCCTTGGAAAGAAAGGGTGCATGTCATGGGCAATTAACAGATGCAGAAATCCTTTAATTTTAAATCATGCCCTTAGCTGGGGAACTTTATACTATGCTGACAAAAGGCTGAATCTAATAATGCTTTTTATTTTACAAACACATATGTACACACCCACAATCTATGAGTGTGTTAAGACCCATATTTACAAACAACCCATTTACAAATTGCTAGATGAGACCAGCATTTACTTCCTACTCCCTCTGCCATTTGAAGAAAGCCAATTTACTATTTCATCACCTTTCTTCTTCCTGGGATCCTTTGCCTCAGTTGTAAAAATACATCTTTCTCCCCTCCTTCTGTCAGACACCTATCTTGCTTTGTGGTAGGTGACAACCAAAGACCTCAATTGTATTTTAATAGTAAATTCTTAAAGATCTACAGAGTCAAAGAAATGAGTCTCTAATTGTAGAAAATTAACTTCCAGTGGGAGCTACCTTACTTAGTTGGTACTTGAGATGCCTTCCCCATTGCTTCTCAAACCAGACCACCCAGGTACCTTAACTGCATAGGCTAAACGTCTATACATTTTGATAAAGCCACCCAGAGAGCTACTCCTGACTCAACTAACTAGTTGTGCTGCCGACTACTGTAAAGTCATTCCTGTGCCACATGAACCACAGAATTTCAGCAAGTAAGGAGCTGAAGACGGGTAGCATCATGATTTTCAGTCTGTTTCTTCATTCTCAAACCTCACAAGGTTGAATCTTTCTGCAGAATTTCACTTTGGTTTTTATTATTCACTGAGGAAGTCTGGTACATATAAAAGCTTCCTCTTAGCATAGATAAGATTAACAGGCTAACAGTTCTTTGGGTAAGTAGGATTAATTATCAGGAAGCTGTTGATACAGTTCATTGTTGACCTGTAAAAACCTAGTAAGAATGAGGTCAAATAAAATAATAGGTCCATTTAAAGTTTGGGTCATATAAAACGTCATTAAGAATCACATTATTTCAGCAAAGAAAATATTGCAAAGAGCTCTCCTTTTAAAAGAAAATAGTTTTTCTGCTGGAGAGCTTCCAAACCACACCATTTCAAAACCTAAACACTGCAAACCATTGAAAGCTAATGTTTAACTGTCTGGTTCTCGTCTCAAAAACCTTTTCCCCCTTGGTATTTGGTTTTTGTTGAAATCCAGGTGTCATCTGGCTTTTAATCCCAATTATGTTACTTTTGCTGGGCCAAATACTTTCATTGCCCAGGGGTTACTTTTTTATATCCCACGTAGTATAGAGTGAATTCTACCCTGCTCTGTGTGATTAGGAGAAGTAGTAATCAGCATTTTACTAGAGTTGAGGAAAACAGTAAAGAGCAGGGCTAGCCCAACGCAAGATTGTGAAATGCCTGAAATTGTTAAAGCCCTAGACACCTAATTTGTCATTTAACTCTTTTGGTGCCCTAATCTCTGTGAAATCTTGTTCAGCTGAGAGCTGTATGATTCTTCTGAGCATCAGTTTCCTCCTCTTTTGGAGGATGGACTGAGACCATGTGTGATATAGTATACAACATATGGCCTGATACATAGATGTTCAAAAATTACTAGGTCATCATCCTCCTCTTCATTAATTTATCTCTTAAGCCTCAGGACTAAGGGATATTTAATACTGATTTATGATGAAATTATTTTTAAGAATGTTTACTTTTAATACTTTCATTCTTGAGGGCTGGAAAGCTCTCCAAACCTGGAAGAATGTGTCTCTAATTCTGACATTGTAGGGCCTGTAGGAGGAGGAGAAGATACGTATCGGCTTAGAGGAAGCTTCACTGCTCTACCATGAGGATAGCTGCTTGCTCATTAGACTGCATTAGACAGCCTTGCTGGGGGAAAAGAAAAAAAAAGATTGTGCAAGTCGGGCATGGAGGCCAGCATGTGGAACCTGAATGCTCATACCAGAGCCAGAGAGCCCATGTCCCAGTTCAGTTCCAAAACCGTTCCCCTGGCAGCCCACAGGTCTGGATTCTTCTGTCTCCCTCCCACCATCATCTATTCACTGAAGGATCTAATTAGTGCATTTTTTAAATGCTGTAGTGGCAGAAGCAGATTCCAAATTTGAAAGGTATAAAGTTTATACAATTATAGGGGCCCTCTTTAGTAGAAAGGATGCAAAGAAATAATAGGTACAAGGGTAACTATTTAGCTAAAATAAAAGAAATCACCACAAAGTAGACTGAAAAAGTATATTTGAAAAGATTATAAATACCACAAAACATCACACAATCCATAAAAACAATGTTTGCTAATTACCTTCCTGACACACCCTATAGTTGCCCCCCCCACTTTTTTTTTTTTCACTTGCCTACTCTGATTGGTCCCTTATGTATTTCCTGATAGGAGAGAACTTGTGAGTTAACATGGGATCAAAAAAAACCAAAACCTTTGTTTACAATTTTATGTGTAGGATGGTTTGAAAACTTTCCACAAATCAGCTTCTGGCTCTGAACATCTCAAGCCTCTTTTCTTCTCCATCATCCACAGATTCCTGGTATTGTAGCATAGACTCATATTGCATTACAACTTCTAACGCTGTGTCTTCATTCCATGACCTCAAGTGAGTGGGCAGTGGGGGTATGTATGAAAGTATTCCTGCATTGAGGACAGGAAGCAATAATTTAGCTACACCTGGAAGTGAAGGCAAACCACATAAATACATTTCACTAAACTCAAAACAAATGATCTTCAATTCAATTTCCCATTAGCCAGATACCCAGAATGTCCACAGCCAGCCTGTGGACACCACTCAATATGAAGGGACGGGGAGAGGAATTTGATATGGGAAGAGAGAGCAGTCTTAACTGATTGCGGTTAAAATATTTAACTTTTTCAAATTTTACAAAAGTCTAGGCCTGTGCAAATGAGAGTCCCTTGAAAATTTAAAGCTTTTTTTAACTTCACAGAAAATCCATTTCTTCACAGAGGCATTAGCCCAACACAGAATTCTGAGGATGAAGGAGAGGTCCTACCCTTTCACTCATGTGGAAAGAGCTCTTTTGTGTTGAAGTGCTTCGTAACTTATGAAGACTTATACAGAGGTAATAAAAATAATATCATTATTATTACTAAAGTCCATCGTGCCCAAGCATGAAGCAGTCTCAGAGGCAGAAATCACAATATCTCGCTGCTTGGAGAATGGAGAAGGAACTTGAGTTGCCTTCTTCCCAAACCATGAAGAACCTGGTTTTCTCCTGCCTGCTCCTTTAGCTAAGATAACCTGAAGAAGCAACTTAAATTGTGTTAAGAATTTCTTTTATCTGGTTCAACAATTTTACTTGCCTGATTATTTAAATCCTAACTTGACTCTGCCACTAACAAGTTATGTAAGCTTGGATAAATTAGTTTGCCTCTCTAAGCCTCAGTTTTCTCATCTATAAAATGGCAATAATAATAATTTCCTTGAAAAATTGTAGAAAGGACTAAATGGATAGCACATACTACTTGGCTCCGAGTAGATGACTAAGATATTGCAGCTATTAATTCCGATAATAATAAGGGAAGAATCAAGAGGGGGATGTTAGACAGCCAGAGGTTCAGGGACTCCAGATGTGCCAAACATAGTATGAAAAATCAAGCTCTATAAAAGCTGAAAGGGATGCTTTTATTTCGGTTCTTCCAGTTTTCCCCAGAGGGACACAGTAGCAACACAGCAAATGTGACCATGGCAACATGATGGCTATGGTACTCAGTGAATAGAATTTGTCAATAATCATGAGGCTTTTAGGAGGCAGTAGGAATTCATATCTGGCTCAGGTTTTCCTTCTGACGTATGCTTTAATTTTGAAATTGCATGAGATTTGGGAAGTGTTCTAGCCTCAGAGAGTTTGATAATTGAACAAGAACAGCAAATTGCCCCTAGTGATATCTGCAAAAAACTGACATTGAGTACCTAGCAGGTAGTAGAGGCCCTGTAAGGTTCTTTAATTCAGCTAAAGTAATTTATCCTCAGAGGGCCTGGGCACTGCTGCTTGGGTTGGACATGGCCAGGCTTTGAATAGCCTGAGACATCAGGTAATTTGAGGAAGCAAAGCACTATCAGTGATTGGCTCTGAAGCTAGACCACGCTAGGCCCCAAATCCCAGCTCTGGCATTTAACATCCATTTTTTTTAGGTTTAATTTACTTTTATTTAAATTCAATTAATTAACACATAGTGTATTATTAGTTTCAGAGGTAGAGTTCAGTGATTCATCAGTTGTATATAATACCCAGTGCTCATTACATAACATGCCCTCCTTAATGCCCATCACCCAGTTACCCCAGCTCCCTATTGCCTCCTAAAATCTTAGCATAGTACCCTCTAGTTCCATCCAGCTCATTGTAAATGGTAAGATTTCTTTCTTTTTTTTTTTTTTTTTTTTTTTGGTGTTTGAGTAAGGTTTCATTGTGTATATATATACCACATCTTCTTTATCCATTCATCTGTTGATGGACATCTGGGTTCTTTCCATAGTTTGGTTATTGTAGACATTGCTGCTAAAAATATTGGGGTGCAGGTGTCCCTTTGGATAACTACATTTTTATCTTTTGGGTAAATAACTCGTAAGTACTTAACATCTTTATAACCTAGAGCAAGCTACTTAAATTCTGTGTCTCAGTTCCCTCATTCTGAAGTGGGGATATTAAGTACTTCATAGGGTTGTAGTGAGTATTAAAGTGATTATTAAATGAGGTAGTATTTCTAAAGCAAGTGCTCACTAACAGCTAGTTCTAATGTTAAATGGGAAGTCTGGTGGAGTGTCCAGCAGGTATTTGGCTTTGTGTATCTGGCACTCAAAAAAGAGATTATAATTAAAGATAAATTTTAGGTTTTGTAGTTGTATTAGTTCCCTGTGGCTGCTGTTTAACTTGGGTTTTAAAACAACAGAAATTGATTCTCTCACAGTTCTGGAGGCCACAAGTCCAAAATCAGTACCAGTGAGCCAGTCATGGTGTCAGGAGGCCATGCTCCTTACAGAGACTCTAGGGGAGAATCTATCCCTTGCCTTTTCTGGCTTCTGATGGCTGCAACATTTCTTGTATTGTGACCTCATCATTCCAATCTCTATCTCACATTATCTTTTTCTCTGTTATCTGTAAGAAATCTCCATCTTCCTCTTTCTAACAGAGACACTAGTGATGGCTTTTAGGGCCCATCTGGATAATCCAGCATAATCTAGGATAATCTCCTCATCTCAAAACCATTATCTTAATCATGCCCACAAAGATCCTTTTTCCAAATAAGGTAACATCTACAGGTTCCGGAAATTAGGACCTGATGTTTTTGGAGGCCATTATTCAGCTTACCACACTGGTTAATATATGATACTGTAAGACATATGGGGAAAATGAAATTATGAGAAGGAAAGAGATCTAAATATAGGACTCTAAGAACCATAAACATATGCAGGGAAGCAAAGAAAGAGGAGCCACTACAGGTAAGTAAGTGAGGAGAGAGGAGCAGTTAGAGAAGGAGACAGTTGGGATAGGGGTGGGGGAGTGTTTCATATTCTAAGGACATAGTACATTTCAGAAAGGACAGCATGACAGAAATGATTCAGAGAATCAGGGAAAGGGCTGAGAAGGAATCATTGGGTTTGACTACTAGGAAAAAAAATCCATAAATATGGCCAGAGTGGATTCATTGGCATGGGGGAGAGAAAGCCCCAATTGTGGTGGATTAAGGATGGAATCACTTACCTCTGTGATAATACTTTGTATGTAGGTACAGGTGGAGGGGAAAATGGTGCAAATACACATCTTAGCAAGCTACTCCTCCACCTCTCTCTCAGTGGTATTTTCTTTGGATTCCTAACAACAAAAGCTCATCAAAGGCACTGAACTTTCCAAGGTAGACATGGCCCATGATTAGAAGGGGAAGGTACTGCCTCCTTCCCGTGTAAATATGCTTGCTCTCCCGCTCCAGAGGTTGATGACAGAGGCTTATTCATCCTTTTAATTGCTCAGCTTACTCTCTGTCTCTAAAGTGTAAATGACTAAACTAGTCAAGTAGTGATTTTTTAATCATTATACTCTTTTGCAGTATCTTCAAGAGAACTCTATTAGTTTGAATTTTTTCAAATATATAAACATTTTTTAGTCATCCAGCAATCATTACGGATCACAGTGTGCTAAGAATTGTATTGGGAATAATGTAAGACATATTAAGGATAATATAAGATTACTATAGTATTAATGGCTAACATTCCAGTGCCTTTTATGTGACAGAAACTGATTTAAATACTTTATATATCAACATATTTCAAAATCTGATGAGAAAGGAGATATGGGAATGATATTAGTATTATCGCCTTATTTTATAGAAGAGAGAACTGAGAGTCACATGACTAGGAAGTATGAAATGTGAGGTGAGGAGGCCTATCCTCTGAACCACTATGACATACATTTTTTTTTCAGCATCTGCAAGAAAACATCTCTAACACACTTGTTTGGGACAGAAGCATACAAATAAGCATTATTTCAAAGTGATATAACAAAAATAAACTTTTGGCTTTAAGAAAGCCTCATAATACTGAAAATATTCATCTATTATTCATTTTCATATTTACTGATATCTACTATGTGCCTAGGCACTGTTGTAGAAACTGAATTTTCAAAAATGGACAAAAACCCTCATCCTCACGTTCAAGTAAACTGGCTCCATCTTTCAATTTCATGCAATAATCAATACTGTCACCATAGTCCCAGAACTGAGTGAGATGAAGCCAGCTTTCCCCTAACTGCATATAAGAGAACAGCATTGACTCATTGGAAGAAGGATTACAATGTATGGTAGAAACTACCACTACCCACTGCTGAAATGATCCTTCTAAGAGAAACTATACTATATACTGAACCATGGCTGAAAAATAACACAGAAGAAAAGAAAAGGAAAAAAAAAAGGAAGGAAGATGATCATATATGAAGAATGTTTTCTTGCAGCTCACAGATCTTTCAAGCATCTAAACCAATAATCCAGGTTCAGAGAGGTACTATCTTCATAATATTGAGCAACTCATTCAACTATTCTGAGTATGTTTCCTGAGGACTGTATTACCTGACATTTAAGATCATTTTCAGTCTACTTCCTGTGACCCTAAGTAACAAATATTAGGAGTTAAAAGGAATCCATAGAGCTCTTCATGTTCCACTTCCCACCCACTCACAGGAAGGAATCTAGAGAAATTTCAAAACCTCAAGTACTCAGAATAAGATAGCCCACTCTCGGCCTCTACAGCAGTGAAAATGGAGCCCCAGAGCTCTGGGAACTTCTCTCTTTCACATCCTATCACTGAAACTCATTTGCTCTTTATCCCAAAAGAAAACTCATCCCTCGTCTCCAGGCATGGTTGCCAGATAAAATGCAGGATGTTTGATCGAATTTAAGTGGTCGTCCTGCATTTTTATTTGCTAGTTTGGCAATATAGCCAAGGTCTCTCAGTGCCTTAGGAGAAAAGGCACCATATCCAGGAAGACTTCTCTGATTACCCAGCCTATGTTGAATTGCAGTTTCTCCTTCCTCAACAGTCCCTGTCTTACTCCTGTGTTAATTTTCTCCATAGTATTTATCATCATCTGAAAAGTGATACATTTTATCTGATTACATTTTGTTTTTTATCCTATATTCTCTCCTCCTCCCACCGGGATGAAAATCCTACAAAACTATAGATATTTATCCACTTTGTTTATGCTATCCAGTGCCTGCAGTAATGCCTAGCACAGAAAATATCTGTCAGTGAATTTGTAAATTGTCGATTCATTTGATGTCAAAAATGATACTACCATTATAATAAACATCATAGGTAAATTGAATAATAACTAATCATAAAAATAGCTGGTATTTACTGTGCGTATAATATCTACCAGGCAGAATACTAAATAGTTTATATGAATATAAATATTTAAATACTAAATAATTTATGCTCAGAAAAATCCAGTGAAGTAGGAAATGTTATTCCTATGTTACAGCTGAGCAAACTGATACTAAGCAAAAAAAAAGTAACTTGCCCCAGGTCACATAGAGTAGCACTGAGATTCAAACCCAGTAGCTTGACTCTAGCTAGAGTCTGAGTCCTTTACCTGAGTCCTTTCCTTGAAAAGAATGCTTTTACTTAGGGACATTAAAAATAAGAAAAAAAGAGTTAAATTCTCAAATTAACTATTAAAGCCTTTTAAATGAGTGAATTTCTGCCCCAGGCCAAAGAATTTTATTTAATGGATTCCTATATGTGAAGTAAAAGCTGGATATGGACTAATTAAGATATTCTTATATAACAGACAGAGACTTAAGTCATGTTCATAGAGCATTTGGTTGGAGAGGAAGATGAGAGAGTGCGGTCATAGCTGCTCATCTTTTTTTCCTAACTTTGAAACTCAGAATCTTGACTCCAGTGGGCACCAACATATAACTGGCCAAGATACCACATATATATTTAGGATGTTTCTTAGGACTTGATAAAGATGGTGAAGGGATTTGTAGGTAAGAACTGAAGCCACTGTAGATTCTAGAATGAAAACTATTTTCATTTTACTAACAATAAATTTGAACACAAATATATACAGTTCTGGGTACGATCTGATTTAAATTTCTAGCTACTCCTCACTAAGGAACAGGCTATACTCTTTCCCAGTGACACAGAGGGAATCCCCTCTATCTTACCCATTCAGAAAGCCCTTTTCTTCCCCCTTCTGTGCTGTTTTTAACTCACACTGCTCTGTGCTGGGTTCCTTTTATATCAAGGTACTTACTGTCATTTTCACATTATTCTCAATCACTATCAAAATTTTCCAAGTTTATGTTAAGGAGTTCCTATTATTTGGTTTGAACACTAGTATAATTATATCAGTATCAGGACCTAATAACAACTCATGGAAAGCAGTAACTATGGGCTGTTACTGGTTAACATTATTTTCTCCTTATGGACAATGCTTTGCTTGACCTTCTTCAAAGAATCTAACCCAAAGATCGGCAATCTATAGCCAGCAGACAAAATCCAGCCAAAAGCCTGTTTTTGTATGGTTCCAGTACCTAGTAATGATTTTTACAAAAAAGCATTTGCAATCAGTTGGATGATAGGGAACACTAGAATTGAACTTCAGTTAAGTAAAATATACTGAAAAAAAAATTCCATTCATGAATAGACTTGTATTACAAAAAATTGTACTCAATTATTACTATAGTTTAAATTTCATCAATAAAAACTGTGGAAATTTGTTTTCTATTTGCTATGTAAGTACCTACTTATTATACTCAATTTGGCCTCTTAGCCTGCAAAGCCGCAAATATTTACTGTCTGGTCTTTTACAGAAAAAGTTTGCCGATCCCTGATGTAATTCCTGGGTAGTATGATTCAAAAAAAGGCCAATTGCTAATTATTTTGTAAAAGGAGTAATACTGTTTCACCAATTCTAACTTTATATTTAATTTAAATATGCTATTTTGTGGCATCATTTTTCTAAAATTCATATTTATTTGCCACACACAGGGTTTTTTTGGGGGGAGGATTATCATTACTGTTTTTCATGTCTAGCCTGTCTGTTAAGTTCCTATTGTCACAATTGACTAATTGTTACTAAAGCATTCCTTTTGGCACCTTGTTTTTGGTGGGTGCCAAATTACATGCAGTGCAGTATTAAAAGATAATTTGGATCATCTCAATATATACCCCAGTAAACAATCTAGAAAAACTTTTTGTTTGGGATCATTTCCCCCTATCCACATTAATAAAAACATTAATGATTTTTTTCCTAATTGACTACCGTCTAGTTCAGAAAAAATAAATATTTTAAACAAAGAGAACTTGCTGAAGAAAACTTGTAAAAATATCTATTTATATACTAAGGAATCCCTTTAGTTGATCCCAAGAAAAGTATGGAGCATCCTTAATGGAACTATAAAGACACGGTTGTGATTTGTACCATATTAAACTTTTTTTTTTAAAGATTTTATTTATTTGACAGAGAGAGACAAAGCGAGAGAAGGAACACAAGCAGGGGGAGTGGGAGAGGGAGAAGCAGGCTTCCTGCTGAGCAGGGAGCCCAATGTGGGGCTCGATTCCAGGACCCTGGGATCATGACCTGAGCCCATGGCAGATGCTTAACGACTGAGCCACCCAGGCGCCCCCATATTAAACATTTTTTAAGCTGTCCCCCCACCTTTTTTTTTTTTTTTTTTTTTTGGTAGACCTTGAATCAGCAAGAGGGAAAGGAACTATAGGAGTGGCTGCATCCCCAAAGCTCTGTCTAAAGGCCATCACTGGATTTAGTCAAGTCAGCTTTATGGAGCAAATAAGTTCAGCATGGACTTCGGGCTGTTTATTCATCACTTACTAAATCCACTGAACACACCTTTACTGAGAGCTCATTGTGAGCACTAAGACAACAGGTTCTGCTTCAGTGGAAATTATAGTTAACTTAATCCTGTTCTGC